AGGAGGATCCCTGCAAGTTCAAGAACAGCTTCTGTTACAAAGTGAGCTCGAGGCCAGCCTGAGCTGCATAACAAGACCCTGTCTCAAAAAAACAAAAAAAAAAAATCAAAGATGGTGCTTGATTGGTCCCTGCGCCCACCACCTACTTACGTGGTCTGGAACCTTCTCTCTGAGCCCTATTTCTCATGCCTCAGTACCTACCTAGTTAACTCCCTGTCTCTGCACTCCGTGTCTCTCCAACATCTTTCCTTATCTTTCTCTATGCCTAACTTAAATTCCACCACACTTCTAGGGTAAAGGTTCTTTGAGTTTCCCTTGCCTGAGGGACATCTGTCTTCTGTCCACAGCTGGGATGAGTGGGCACTGATGGTGGAAGGAATTCCTGAGCTGCCCAGATCTAGGGGTTTGGGCCAGGGAGATAGCTCAGTAGAATAAGTGCTTGCCTGGCAAGCGCATCCAGGCACGGGCCCGAGTTCAATCCCTGGTACCACAAAAACAAACAAACAGATCTAGGCATTCACTGGATAAGCAGCCCCTAAAAAGGCCTGTGGGAGTTGAGTCTGGATAGGGGGAGTGGGTCGCACTAGGACCTTGCTGTCCCTGCGGGCCAGAGTGTCCTGGAGAGGAAATCCACAACTATCAGAGGTGCGAGGGGATAAGGTTCCTCAGAGTGGCAGCTGAGGACCAAGGATTCCTCCTCCTGCCTCCACTTACCGTTTCCACCCTCTGGTCTCTCTCTCTCTCTCTCTCTCTCTCTCTCTCTCTCTCTCTCTCTCTCTCTTTCTCGGTACCCAGAAACACCCAACTTGGTGACCATCCTGCTGAGCATGCTCATGGCTGTCGCAGTCCTAGTGCATGTGCTGAGCAGAAAGTGTGTCAGCAGGAGCAGGAAGAGGAGGAGAAGAGGGAAGAGGAGGTGAGCCCCTGGTGGCCTGGTGGCCGTGGAGGTAGTATCTGGGATGTCACAAGACCTCATGCTTCCCTTCATTGCCCACCCCCTCCTAGAGAGAAAACGCAGGGCCAGACAGAGCCTGGAGCGCAGCTGCTGACCCCAGGTGAGCCGGCCTTGAGGTCAGGCCCTGGGTGGCCAGAGGAGTCCTCTGTGCCTGACACCCTTTCTTGCTTTCTCCTCAGGCATTGTTCTGGAGCCTACCTGCAAAGTCACAGTTCTGAGTTGCCCTCCAACAAGGAGATAAAAAAAAAAAGCTGTTATTCTTTTAAAAAAAATTTTCCAGTACTGGGAATTGAATATAAGGACTTCCTACTGAGCCACATCCCCCAGCCCTTTTTTATTTTGACAGTCTTTCAGTAAATTGCCCAAATTGGGCTCAAATTTTCAACCCTCCTGCCTCAGCCTCTCAGAGTGCTGGGTTACAGGTGTGCCACCACAGCCAGCTAGAAATCCAGGTTCTTAAAGAGGATGTAGCCTCTGAGCTCCCTGCTAAGGGGACTGAAAAGTCATTAAGTTCTAAATTTCTAATGATGAGAAGCTAAGGGGGCCGGACTTCTCCCACAGGGTGGCCCTTTGGGGCAACCCCCACCCTCTCCAGCACCTCTGGTTACTATGGGAACTGCGGGTGGGGCTGCCTCAGGCTTGGAAGCAGGAGCACCACCCCACCCAACCCTCCCCAGGGGCTCATCCTCCCAGGCAGACCCTTGAGGAGAGGGGTTGAGCCCTCCCAATGCTGGGCTCCAAAGAGGGAAACTGGCCAGCCGGGCAAGGGGAGGGTGGAGGGTTAGGGGGCTGGGGGTGGGGGTGAGACAGACTGGGTCTGGGGATGTCGAGGCAGGCAGCACCCCAGTATTATCGTATTACTCTGTACAGGACTTCCTTGAAGAAAGACCTAACCCAGGTGAGGAAAGGGTTCCTAAATATAGGTGTGCCCCTGCCAGGTGGAGCTTCCCTCCCTTGGTGGGGGTGCCCTGTTCTATCTAGCCTGGATGTGACTGAGGAAGAGGCTTGGCTGGGCGGGGGGGGCGCTGGACGGGCCCTCTTCCTAGGCAGGGCTGGGCCCTTTCCACACCCTCTTGGAGTTAGAAAACAGGAGCGCTGTATCCTCGAAAAAAAGATGGGACAGAGGACTCTAGTGTTCGGAACTCTAAAAGAGAGCGTAGAGGTAGGAAACCTGGGTTATCTCCCTGGGCTGCGAGGTCCTGCACCAGCCCCAAGATGACAAGGGGGGGAGGGGGAATGGGGGGAGGGGGCAACCTAGAGGCCGAGGTGAGAAAGCTGCTCCCACAAAACCAGGCTGGCCCCCGTCAGGCCTGTCGATGCAGGTGTCCAGGTGGGCGGGCAGGAAAAAAATGGGGGCGGGGGAGTCCGACCCCAGCCTCCTCTTCCTGTCTGGGAGGAACAAGCTGCAGCAAACGAGAGGCGCCCCCTCCCTTCCCGCCCGGGAGAACCTGCAGGGCGGCACACTGAATGGGGGAATTGTCCTCAGCCAGCTGCACACGTGGGGTCTCCCCGCAGCCACTCCCAGCTCTCCCCCTCCCCCACTGCCGCTAAACCTACCCCAGCTGCCAACATCTGGCCCACATGTGTCCCCACCAGAACCTCCCTCCAGCCTATGTCCCCTCCTCTTGTAGGGGGCTGCAGTAGGGCTGTGAATTCAAGCTCCCCTTCGTCTATACATCCCCCTAGTAGGCCTAACAGGAACCAGGGCAGGGTAGAAGGGGGCCACCCCACCCCGGAGGTGCCCCAGGCTCTTGGCACGGCCAGTGCAGCAGTTAGGAGCAGCTGCTAGTGACTCATCTCCCGTGGCTCCCACCCCCCACGGGGCTGGGAACCTAGCACCCAGGCCCCCTCCCCACTGCCCGATCATCTGGACCTCCACCCTTCAGGTCTTTTCCAGCTCCCAGTCATCCCCAGAACTTTGATATGGCCCATTTTCTTTTATTTATACAAAAGTTTCTTTTTAATTTTTAAATATAATTTAAGAACCCCCTCCAAGCACCGGGTGTCTGTCTCTGGTTCCCGCCACCGACTCCCTGCCCCTTTACCCCCTCCCCCACGCCCCCCCAGGACACAATTTGGGGGTGCTTGGGAAGCAGTGGACCCGGGGGTGTGGCACGGCCAAGGCACTGTTCTGGAAATGGACACCTCCATGGGTCCGCTGCAATGCGGGCAAGGGAGGAGCTGGGGAAACAGGTGCCCTCCAAAACAAAAACTAGGACAAGGACTCTAGAAAAACAAAACAAAAAAACAAAAAAGGGGAAGGAGAAAAAATAAGACCCAAAGAAAAAAATCTCATGAACCTTCAATATGAAGGCAGCAGACAGGGAAAGGGCATTTACAAGGAAAAGATGATTGTGTCGGGTGGTGGCAGCAGCAAGTCGGGACATCAAAGCCCAAGGACTGTGTCACTGGGCTGTGACACCCTTCCTGCCCCCTGGGACAACGCTCCTTCACTCCCAAGCTGGCAGGCTGGTCACCCTCTCTTTGGTCTGTAGGGACTTGTCCCTCAAGGTGAAGGGGAGCAGCTGGGGAGCCCGGAGATTAAGGGCGTTTCCACTTCCTCTGACTATACCTAGTCCTGAGGGAAAGGCGCCCTCACCCAGGCTCAGGGGGGTTCCCACCCGGAGGGGCCAGAAAGCGATTTTCCTACCCTCCCAAGCGGCACAGCCCCCAAAATCCTCTTCCCAAACTGCCAACTCCCCACCCCACGGGTTCAAAGTGCTATCCAGCAGGACGCAGAGCTGGGGATCTCTGTGCGTCCCCACCAGCCTCTGCTCCTGAAAGAAGGGTAGGCCGTGTTCCTGGGGCAAGGAGGTTCTGCAGGTCAGTACTGCGGGGCTGGTCCTCCTGTCCCGCCTGGAGTTCCAGGCTTGGCTTGGGACTTCATATGCTGGACACTGGCCAGAATCTTCTTCTGGTGTCCCGCCAGGGTGACTCCAATTCGGAGCAGGTCCCTGTGAAAGAAGGGAGGTTTCTGTGTGCTTGTAGGGCTCCCAGACCTAAACATCTTGCTTATCCCCTTACACCTCTTACAGGGGGTACACGATTGTTAGCCAATGAGAACGTCAGCGTGGAGGGGGGGGGAGGGCAGAATGACGTCAGCAGTTGTGGGCAGTTTCCAGAAGATTTAAGGCGCAGGGCACCCTTCTGCGCAGCCGCAGTAGGCAGTGGGGCTGCTGCTTCTCTACCAAGGAAGGGCTTAGGAGGTGAGGCTGGGAGAGGAGGCAGCAAAGTGAAGACATGGGGGAAGGAGCTACATAGATTGTTTTAGTGGTTAAAGGAGAAGTGCGAAGAAAAAGACAGCAAGAGGAAGAACTGGGTGGAGAGAAAAGGGGGTATCTGGTGCCTGGACACTGAGATAAAGATCAGGGTAAGAAGAGGTGCTAATGGAGAAGAGAGGCTGACAGGTTAGAGAGAGAAACAGATTCAGAGAGCAGCCAACCACGGACAAGGGTTGCTTGGGAGTCAATGGAGTCATAAAACGATTTAACATTCAAGCCGGGAAGGATCTCCAAATCCTAGTCCAGTGTTCTCCTTTTATGGGTGGGAAAAGAACAGCAGGGTTGACACGTTCCTGCGAGCTAGGTCTGGAATGCAGATAGATTCACAGAGATAGATGGTGGGGTGGTAGCCCAGGGCTGGGAGGTTCCAGGAGCCACAGCGTCGGCACCGTGCCCAGGAGGAAGCCTTGCTTCTTTGCCACCACCCTAAGCAGCTCTTCTGCTTGGGGGGCTGCTCTTGGCTTGGCCCTGGGCAACTTCTTCACTGTTGCTGCTTGGAGAGTACATGGAGGTGGACCCCAGGGCCTGAGTCAGATCCCACTGCAGTGTCCCCAAGTGCCCTCTGGCTCCTCTGCTCTCCTGCCACGCCTCCTCCACTTACTCTGCCCCTGTCCACTTACTCTGCGGAGATCTGGCTGACCAGCTCAAAAGAGCCAAACCCAGCTGCTGCAAAACTTTCTTCATATCGTCCCATCTTGATGGCTCGAAGCCACTCTCCCACAGAGCCAAAAGCTGAGTAGTGAGGCTGCCGCTGGTCCAAGAGTGGGTGTGAGGCCCTGTGAAGTAAGGAGGCATAGAATGCTGAGTTCTAGGCTGGAGTAAGGGAATGCTGAGCCCAGCCTCAGAGAGGCCCACAGGGACTACCCCACGTACCACCAAAGGGCCAGGAGGGCATCTCAGGCCCTGAAAGACTGAGGGAAGGGGGGCTCGTTCTCTGGGATCCTCACCCGCCATTCTCCCTGGCCACAATTTTGAGACTGGCAGGGTTCCGGATCATCTTGTCTAGGGCGCTGACGACCTGGGGGAAGCGGGGCCTGGCGTTCCGGTCCTTCTGCCAACAGTCCAGCATGAGCTGGTGGAGGGAGGTGGGGCAGTCTGGGGGTGGGGGCAGTCGATAGTCTTGTTCAATGGCGTTGATCACCTGGGATGACAGGAAGAAGCACTAGGTAGGGCTGTCCCAGGAGGACTGCAGGAAAGGGTGACTTGGCCAATGCTAGGGCAGATCTGGGAATCCTTTCAGTTTGGCCAGAGCAGGTGGTGGGTGGGCCCTAGCAGATCTCAGGCCATAATCTGGACATGCAACTTCCCAACCTGCCCTCTGTTACTGCAAAGATCACCTCTTCTACCATCACATCCTACCATCCCAAGGAGCCCCCCAGGGACAGTTCTGGAAACCACCCCCCCACCGCTTTTCCTAGGTGAGAGAACACACAAGAAAGCTAGGTGTGATCATGGGACACTTACATCCTGGTTACTCATGTCCCAATATGGCCGTTCCCCGAAAGACATCACCTCCCACATCACAATCCCATAGCTCCAAGCATCACTGGCTGAGGTGAACTTCCGGAAGGCAATGGCCTCGGGGGCTGTCCATCGGATGGGAATCTTTCCACCCTGGAAAGGAGTGGGAAAGGAGGAAAAGGTAAATGTAGTTCTTAGCCCCTAGCCCCCCAATTCTTCCTTCTCCCCCTAGGTCTTTCTTTCTGGGACATGAGTTCCCATCTCCCCAACTCTGTTCCTTTCCTAGACATCTGGAAATCTGTTCACCTTTGGCCTGTGCCTGTATCCTGCTCCTGGCCCAGAACCACCAATCTCCCATACTCCCACCTTTCCAACCTGCCCTCCCATGTGGCCCTGAGACCCTAGCTCACCAGAGAGCTGGTGTAGGTGGGATCAGAAGAGTTTTCCTCCAGGAAGCGGGACAGGCCGAAGTCTGAGACCTTGCAGACCAGGTTGCTGTTGACCAGGATGTTGCGGG